AATGGCTACGAATGATGATGATGCTGCTGCTGATGATGATGATGCTGATGATGATGATGGTGGTGATGATGCTGCTGATGATGATGATGATCATGGTGTTGGTTATGCTGATGATGAGGAGGAGGAGGAGGGGGAGAAGGAGGAGAAAGAAGAGGAGGAAAAGGGGGAGGAGGAGGTGGAGGAGGTGTAGACAGGGGGAACACAGCGATACAATCTGTTTGTACATGCTCATCTGGTCCTCTCTCCTCCCACTTTTCGTTCTTCCGTGTCCCAGGCCCCTGCTGGGCGTGGAGGGTGGGGAAGGTTTGTGCACGTGCGTGGGGTCTCCTGGCTTCCCCCGATGAAGTAGTGGAGACCTTTGCTTCGTGGCAGCCGCTCGGCCCCTATGATTGGAAAGGCCTTGCGGCCGATTCCGCCGACCCTGAGAGGGGGGATCAGGAGGGAGGCCCCAGGAAGGCCGCGGACTCATGGAGGCTTGTTGGGGCCTCTTGGGGGGCCTCTCGGGGGACCTCTCGGGGGACCTCTCGGGAACATGTTACAACTGGGCGCGCGACGCCATCGAAAGCGCGCGTGCGCACGTGAGCTGCGTTGTGCGCGGCCACAGGTTCCTCGCCCGCGCCTGGCCCGCGCGCGTGCGATCGAGCCGTGCTCGCGGGCCGCCTCCCGCTCTCTTGCGCCTCGCGAAGCGCGGCCCCACGAGGAGGGCTCGCTCGCGCGCTTTCGCCGCTTTCTCTTCTGCTTGCTTCGTTGTGCGCGATACGCGCAGGCGCGCCGCGGGGATCCCGCCTGGGCGGGTCGCGGAGCGCCTCGGGGTCGTGCGCGTTGCCGGCGTTGGCGCTTGCGTCCTGTCGTCGTGGACGGCGCGCGCGCATTCGCCGCGCCGCCGTCCTCTCTTCTCTTCCTCCCTCCTCCTCGCCCCCTCTTCCCCTCCCTTTTCCTTTCTCTTTCTCTCTGTCTCTCTATCTCTCTGTCTCTCTGCCTCTCTGTCTCTCTTTTTCTCTTTTTCTCTGTCTCTCTGTCGGTCTGTCTGTCTGTCTGTCTGTCTGTCTGTCGGTCGGTCTGTCTGTCTGTCTGTCTGTCTGTCTGTCTGTCTGTCTGTCTGTCTGTCTGTCTGTCTGTCTGTCTGTCTGTCTGTCTGTCTGTCTGTCTCTCTCTCTCTCTCTCTTTCTCTTTGTTTTCTCTCTTTCTCTCTCGCTCTCTCTCTCTCTCTCTCTCGCGTTCTCTCTTTATCTCTCTCCCTCGCGCGCGCGCGCCCCGCCTGTCGCCCGATTGGGCGCTTCTCCCCCCCGCGCAGGTTGCTCCCCGCTCCCGCGCAGGTGTTGGGTTCTTCTCGTCGTTTTGATGGCTCGAGTCTAAACGCTTTCCTTGCATCGCCTGGTCAATGGCCGCCTGGCATTCGGTTGCTATTTGTCCTTGGCGGCTTCGACCGGCCACTGCGGTTCTCTTTCCCGTTGGGTCACGCGAGTTCGGCAGGTCCTTTCTCAAGGCGGCTGTTTAATTCTGGGCGCGAGTTGCCCGTCGGCCACATGGGTCGCACTGGGGCCAATGCGGGTTTCGCGAGTGCGCAGACTCTTTCTCCGCGCGCAACAGCAAAAGGGCGGCGCGAATCCGCCGTCTTCGCGCAGCTGTTTCTTGTCAGGTACGTATTTCTTGCGCCTGCCCTCCGAGTCATGGTATACCTCGTCCGACGGCGTCGCCTTTCGCCAGGGCGCAGAGGCTTCCTTCGTTTTGTGCGACGGCCTCCTGCAGCGCAAATTGGCCCGTCGCACTAACAAGCAAATCGGTTCCGTGCTACAGCCGGCGTTTGTGCGCTCGTTGCACCATGGCGTGCCCAGTCCACGCGCTTATTGCCTAGTTCGCGGATCTGCCCGTGGGCGCCTTGCCGTTCGCGGGCATTCGCTCGGCAAGCTGTCTGCGCGCGCTGCGCTTTTTCCTCGGCCAGTTCGGCGTCGAAGGCGAGGCGCTTTATCGCGCTCGTGACATGAGGCGCGGCCACGCACTGGACCTTCAGCAAAGGGATGGTGCCTTGCGAGAGGTCCCTCAAGCGCGCGAATGGCCTTCGCCCGCCTTCCTGTCGCACCTCGACATGGCGCGATTAGAACTCGGCGCCGTGGTCGGGGCATACTTGGTTGAGTTTGAGGACGACCTTGATTAGACACTGGCGGCCCAGGCGTCGCGCGCTGCCCTTGTGCGATCTTTGCCACCATTGCTTGAGACGTCATGGCGGCGCTGCCGTGCGCGTCGCCTATTTTCGCGAGGGGCGCGCGTGCCGCGCGCGTCGCCGCCGCGCTGCGCAGTGGCGTGCGTCGGCCGGGGGCGCTGGCCTCCCTGGCGCCACGCGCGTCGGCTCAGTCTGGCGCCGCCAGGCTGGGCGGCGCGGGGGGCGCCGCACTCCTCCTCTGAGTGGGGCGGGCACCTTCGGGTGCGGGAGGTCGCTGGCGCAGGGGATTGAGCGGTGAGCGCACGGCGCCATCGGAACCGCGCGCGCACTCGAGCTGCG